ATGGGGTCTTTGGGGTCAGTGGGGGCTGCGGGGTCTGGGGGTCTTCATGGGGTCTGTGGGGTTTCTATGGGGTCTCTATGGGATCTATGGGGTCTGTGGGGTCTCTATGGGGTCTGTGGGGTTCTCTATGGGGTCTCTATGAGGTCTTAGGGGTCTGTGGGGTCTCTATGGGTCTTAATGGGGTCTCTATGGGGTCTGTGGGGTCTCTGTGGGTCTTAATGGGGTCTATGGGGTCTTTGGGGTCTCTATGGGTCTTAATGGGGTCTATGGGGTCTGTGGGGTCTCTATGGGGTCTGTGGGGTCTCTGTGGGTCTTAATGGGGTCTCTATGGGTCTTAACGGGGTCTGTGGGGTCTCTATGGGGTCTATGGGGTCTCTATGGGGCTCTGTGGGTCTCTATGGATCTCTGTGGGTGTCTTTGGGGCTCTGTGGGGTCTGTATGGGTGTATATGAGGTCTCTATGGGTGTCTATGGGGTCTCTTTGGGGCTCTGTGGGGTCTATGGGGTCTGTGGGATCTCTATGGGGTCTGTGGGGTCTCTATGGATCTCTGTGGGGTCTCACTGGGGTCTGTGGGTGTCTTTGGGGTCTCTATGGGACTCTGTGGGGTCTATTGGGTCAGTGGGATCTCTGGGTCTTAATGGAGTCTGTGGGGTCTCTATGGGTCTGTATGGGGTCTGTGGGGTCTCTATGGGGTCTGTGGGGTCTCTATGGGTCTGTATGGGCTCTTTATGGGGTCTATGGGTGTCTATGGAGTTTCTATAAGGTCTTTGGGGTTTCTATGGTTCTTAATGGGGTCTGTGGGGTCTCTATGGGTCTCTATGGGGCTCTATGAATCTTAATGGGTCTCTATGGGGTCTGTGGGTGTCTATGGGGTCTCTATGGGGTCTGTGGGGTCTCTATGGGTCTGTATGGGGTCTCTGGGTCTCTATGGGGTCACTTTGGGGTCTCTATGGGATCTATGGGTGTCTATGGGTGTCTATGGGGTCTCTGTGTGTCTCTGTGGGTCTCTATGGGGTCATTTTGGAGTTTCTATGGGGTCCCTTTGAGATCTCTATGGGTCTCTATGGGGTCTCTATGGGGTCGCTGTGGGTCTCTGTGGGATCTCTATGGGTCTCTATGGGTTCTCTATGGGGTCACTTCGGGGTCTCTATGGGGTCACTTTGGGGTCACTTTGGGGTCTCTATGGGGTCTCTCTGGTCCGTCCCTGCAGTCCCTGGCAGCGGTGGCTCGCGCCCCACGGGAGGAGCTGTCACTGTGCCCAGGGATCGGACCCCAGAAGGTCTGTGGGGTCTGTGGGGTCTGTGGGGTATTGGGGTCAGTGGGGCCACATTGGGGTCAATGGGGGGATTGGGATCAGTGGGGTCAATGGCCTCAGTGGGGTCAGTGGGGTCAGTGGGGGTATTGGTGTCAGTGTCACATTGGGGTCAGTGGGGTCAATGGAGTTAATGGGAGCAGCGGGGCCATTTTGGTGTCAGTGGGGCCATATTGGGGTCAGTAGGGCCCATATTGGGGTCAGTGGGGTCCATATGGGGCCAATGGGACACAATGGGGTCAATGGGGCCATATTGGGGTTGGTGGGGCCATATGGAGTTCAATGGGGACACAGTGGGGTCAGTGGGGCCATATGGGGTCCAGTGGGACACAATGGGGTCGGTGGGGCCATATTGGGGTCAATGGGGTCCATATGGGGTCTAATGGGACACAATGGGGTCGGTGGGGCCATATTGGGGTTGGTGGGGCCATATGGAGTTCAATGGGGACACAGTGGGGTCAGTGGGG